GCAGGGTTTTATGGTACTTACAAACCCAAAGTAGGAAAAGCTTACATGGTTTCTCATCATTTTTTCTTTTGTTTTTGGGGAAATAAACATTGGAACATTGTTGTGCCTTTATGTTCAAAATTCATAAGTCAATTATTTGCAAAATCATTGCAATGACAGCTATTTTTTTAGATATTTTTCTCAAGCAGCTTTGCTGGAAATTGTGTCTTCCCCCTTTTATTATAACGTAATTTACCTTATTTGATAAGTGCAGACCAATCGTTTTTCTGTTGAAAGATTCTTCCACCTGCTTGTTCTTTTCATTTCCACCACAGTTTTGTCTGCTATTTCAATCAAAGGTCTTTTCCCTAGCCTTTAACTGTCGCTTGGTAGCCTTGTCTTTGTAGTAGAGTCTTGTCCTGTTGTTGTTTTTCTAGACCCTGTCCATTTTCATATATGTTGATAAGTACTCTGTAAGATGTTAAGAGCTCAAGATGTTGTTGACAACCTAACCATGCTATAATCTTCTCTATTTGGCCTGTATGTTGTGTTATATGTGGTTTTATGATGTTTATTGTTCACTAATGTGCTCTATTTATCACTTTTTAAGGTGATGGGTTGCAGTGGGTTTTATTAAGGTATTTCAATTTATACGGAGATTAATATAAATTAATGCTATATGTTTCCATTTTTTCCTCACACTTATGTATTTCTTTCTTTTTTTTAAATGCAGATGCAGCCTGAGCAGAATGGGGGCGGAGGTAAAACTCAATCTTCATCATAGATGAACATAATCACAGTTGATCAAAAGTCGTCGTTTCTCTATTCAAGCCATGTGTTCCAAACACTGATTTAGCAGACCACCTGTCGCAGTCAGTTGGCCTGTAGACTTGAAAAGAGCACAGAGTGCAAAGCAGCAACTTGGCCCCAAAAAAGACTAATGATGTATTACAATATAAGAAGGGCAGTGGGGTGCCTGGAGGGGACAAAAGAAGAGGGGATCTGTGTGTATGTGTGCTGTGTTGACATACTTAATACAGAATAAATACATAGAATATTTAATAATAAAATCCTATGTGGGTACAGAGAAACCCTCAGATATCATAAATGGGGTGTTCACAGATTAAAGTTGTCAAACCAATTTAAGCATTCATGTTTTCAAAAGCTTGTTTTCTTGCATTCTTTCTTGCATATTTGTTCCTCATTCAAAGATTATCTAAAATCAGTTTTGGATTATGCAAACAGGCTTTCGCAAGGGCCCTCTTATCCCCCCCTCCCCAAGATAAAAAATGTAATTTACCAAGAGGAAGGCGTGCATTAGGGAGATTTTGCTGTGCATATACTCTACCTAAAGAACTTATTTTTCTGTAATGCTGTAGTTTGTCACAGATTTCATGTCTCGTCTCAGATTAAAAGATGTCAGAAAAACAGAAAATCTTCTGCTTTCCACCCCTCCCCTGCAACTCATGACAGCAAAAATAGCTCAATATCTATTTACCTATTATTATTGTTATTGCCTGTGGACTTGTTTTGGAAAACATAAAAGAAGAAATTTCCTTTATGCTTTATATGTAAACACATACGTTTTAGCCTAGGCACCCTCAGATCTGAGTGATACACTGGTGGTTCAGAGGTTATACATTTGTTCACCACTATCTATAAAACGATGCATATTAGACATATGAATTGCTGCAGGAACAAATCAGAGCCATTATCTACCCTATGCCGTCCCTTAGGTACATCACCACGGTGGTAATCCGATTGTACATGCACCATTACCTAGGGCAGCATAAGGAGGCTTTTCTTTACTGCCTGCTGTTTAATCAAAATTGGTGCTAAATATTTGATACATGCCAACCCAGCATATTAATGTGCATGCGTCATGGATGATTATTGTTGAGATGGACAGAGAGCGCTCCCCATTAGCAGCATGTCATTACTGGCAGTAAAAGTTATTGCAGGCCATTTAATATCTGTTTGTTTTTGTTGTTTTTTTTTCGTTGCACATTTTTGGATCACTTTGGTTAAAGGACTTTTATTACATTTCAGTGTTAATGATGGTGAGACACATTTCCAGCTATTTGAGTCCTAGTAGCTTCCAGGGGTGCTTTTCTGTATTCAGTACCCATCTCAATACATGACAGTGCATAAATTATTCAGGATTTTTCATAATTCAATTTAAACATTGAAACTAAATATTATATTGTTTTCCTACAAAAAGAGTTAGCAGTCCATTATAATTATCATTGTTGCTTGCATCTAGTCAAAACCTCAGACTCTGTTTTTCAAAAAATTAGAATACTACTTTAGACACATGATCATATCATTTAAATCCAGATTTGTCAGTTTTGGGGAACATCTTTTATTTCTTGTGAATTTTATGCACACAGTACTTGTTGGTTTTTTTACAAAGTAAAAGAAAGAAAAAATCATAAAATTATTGTAAAGTTTGATTTAGCCATGCTGTTTCGGCTCTCTTTAGCTCTTTAGCCTGTCTTGTTGGATCTCATCTTTATTGGCTTTCACTGCATAGATCAAGTAATTTTTCTAGCGGGTAAAGAACTTTGACTGCATGGGCATTTAAGTCTGTGTTCTTGCTTCTATGAGTGTGGGTAGGTGCCAAGACCTGCTGTACATTAGAATCAGCATCCCTCTTTAGCTTCTCAGTTGACACAGGAATGAAGTGCTCCTAAGTTAGAGAGCTATGCTGACTTTGGGCTTGATAAAACACAGTGGACCAACACAGAGATAACGAAGCCCCTTCAGATTATTCCTCTCAATAGAAAGTACTAAACTACACCTTAAGAAAATTGGAATCTAAACTCCTCCACTCTTCCTTCAGATTCTGGGACCTTCATTTGAAATTCAATATTTATTTAGTGCAGCAAGAAGGTTCTGGGTTCAATTCCCGGCCTGTGGTCTTTCTGCATGGAGTTTGCATGTTCTCCCTTTGCATGCATTGATTCTCTCCGGGTACTCTGGCTTCCTCCCACAGTCCATAAAAAACATGACTTTTAGGTTAATTGGCTTCACTAAATTCTCCTTAGGTGTGAGTGTGTGTGTGAGTGAATGGTTGTTTGTCCTTTTTGTCTCTGCGTTGCCCTGAGATGGACTGGCGACCTGTCCAGGGTGTACCTCTCGCACGTAGACAGCTGGAGATAAGCACCAGCACCCCTTGCGACCCAAGCTGGGATAAAGTTTTATGGAAAATGGATGGATGGACTGATGGATGGATTGATGGCCAATGGGCTACAGCCCTTTTGCCTTCATTCTTAGCCCGAGAAAGCTGATTCTGATTTTTTATATAATTGATAGAATGTATAAGACGAATCAGATAAATTATTTTTTTTTTATTAAGTAGACCCTGACTCCAGCATAAGATCATACTTGTGTTTCTCTCCAAAAATCAAAGTCTGATTAATCCGTTTTCTTTTGCATCTCTTTATGTTTTCCTTCCACTTAACTTTCCATTACTATACTTTGATTCAGCACTCTGCTAAGAGTCTACATTTTTAGAGTGATATCTGGTAGCCTACCCTCCTTTTAGAGGGCATTAAAGAGTCAAGTGTCTTTCTCATGATTATGTAGGTTGTAAAATATGCACAACATTTTATTTTTATAAACCCTTTTATCTATTAATTGGTTCTGTATAGTATTCTATTTGGCTGATTTTTTAAATACTTAATTTCACAGTTACCAAAAATAACAGAAACAAATCTCTCTATAGTGAACTTATGCAAACTTTTGCATTTTATTTCGGAGATAAATTCATCTTTGTACTTTCTAACTTTAAAATTCACAAGAGGTGATCAACCAATTAACCCCCTCTATGTTCACTAAATGTAATGGTCGGCAACGTCTCGTTTGTAATATAATTTACATAGAAAGAACACTTCCTTTTCCATTTGCCTTTTACCTCGGGAGGGTTTTTACAACGGACAGAAAAAGTAATCTGAGTAGGCCTGAGTTATTATTCCTGGTCGTCCTCTCCTCATTGTGTAGCTTTTCACGGATTAATCTGCAAACCAAGGACGCACAGGATGACCACGGTCCAGCGGAATTGAGTCCGAATTGCCTTAATGCGAAATAGATAAATAAATAAAAAAATCACTTTTTATCACAAGCATAATCCTGCTTAGACGATCTGAAATGAGGTTTGGTGGAGCTTTAAAGTATTTGCAGGTGCTGTTAGCGATAAAGGGTCGGATTCAGATTTACTTATAGAATTTAAATCTTCCTCCGCAGGTGTAATGATTCAAAGGATAAAACTTTTTTTAATATAAAACTTAAAAATATAAACTATACTGAGGCAAAAACATAATGCTTATTGAACATAACGTTAATCACTTTTCTTTTTTTTCCCCTTTTTTTTACCCTGGGGCATAAAACAACCTGATGAAGAGATACATAACATAACTGTCTCTGATATTTTCGGAAGTAGCCTATTTGATTTTTAAATATATATTTTTTTATTTTATTTATTTTTTTGTTAACAGCCAACATGGATCACACACTACAGTGATCTGCTTATTGGGTCTGTCTGAAGGGGAGAAACGAGTTAGTCCATAACGAGGTTCTTCACCAGCAAACCAGCAGAATCAAAGGATTTTATGATGGACCATGTGAACCTCTCTGCTGGTTTTGATCCTACAAATGACCTTTTAAATTAACACAATATTAAGTTAGTTCAGCGGCTCGCTACACAGGGGACAAAGCAGCGTTCATCTTCCATCCCTGCCTCATTGCTTGGTCTGAACAGCAACAAAGTGCTTGATGCCACTCCTGATTAGATGCTGACAATACAGAGAGGATGTCCCCTTTCTCCTGCGACTTGTGGATTTTACTCACGTCTCTCCTCTGAATTATGACCTTCCATTAGCGCTGAGGCTTCAGGCATTGCGTCAGGAGTAAAACTAAAATCAAATAAACTTTGATCAAATGCACATCTACAAATGTTTTTTTTAATTGGCCGAATGAGTGCTCAACTCTGTAGATGATAACAGAAAACAGAAGTCATGATCTCTTGGAAAAGAAAAAAAAAACATGTATTAGAAAATTTCCCTAATGACAAACAGAGGAAGGGTATACATTTCAGCACAATAACATAATAAATAATAATAATAGTAAAAAAAAAAATCACATTAATCCACCAAACAGCAGATCCAATCATTTATAAATTCAATAATTCCAATATTTCTCATTTTAAATCACACAAAAAGGACGCAAAACGCACATTAAAAAAGGTCAGAGGAACATAATAAATAAAAAAAAAAAAGCCTTAATAACAAAAAAACAAATGATAAATACACAGAGAAATAAATAATTATGCTACACGTCACGATTGCCATACACAAATTCAGCCCGTAATATTTTGGGCAGTGGTCATACACTTGAGTCTTAAGATATTTTTGTACTTTTTTTTTTTTGCATAAAGTCTTTTGTATCGCCATTAAAAAGAACGTTGTGCAAAATGGTAGACCCGTCCACAGTCTGACAGTTCTCACTGCAGCAGAGCCAGCTGTTCAGTCTGAGGCCGCCCTGGCCAGTGTCTTTTAGTGCATAAAAAAATGTCCCGTTTTAACGTTGTTGGACAAGCTCCAGCAATCTGAGAAAACAGAAGAGAAAGTGGGAAAAATAAAGTTATATTGTTGTTATTTTCGTTCAAAAATTAAACTTACTCTAATAAATGATTTTTTTCTTGATCCTTTATGTGTTTCTTGGCTTCAAATATGTAAAAAATATATATTTTATCTGTGATCTTCTAGCAGCTTAAAGATGAGGAGTAAAAATCCCTTTCTATGGTGAATTTTTCATGCCTCATACTCCTGTGTGTGGGTGTTAACTTTACTGGTTTGTTCCAGTTCAGTGCAGCAGCCTCTCACCTGCTTCACCTCTTCATGACTGGTCTGAATGCAGTGACCTTGCTGTTCTGCACAGTCCCACAGGCTTCCTCCAGGTCAGACGAGTGAATCTCCACCTTGTCACAAGAGAATTCTGCATGTCCAAGTAAAAAAAAATACCCCAAAAAAGTTACCTCAGGTTAAAAACAGATGCTTTTTCAAATTTAAATTTACAAAAGAAAAAAAATAAAGACAAAGTTATTAGAATGGTATTAGGAGCAACTTGAGTAGACGTACCTTCAATTGCTGTGTACTGGCAAGTATTTGGGAGTGCATCATAGGATGAACTTTGTAGTTGGAGGCCCTTGTGACTGTAGCTACTTGTGCCATAAACTTTTGAGTGCAAGGATGAGCCCTCGGAGAAAGAGCTTTCTGAAGTTGTGACACTGTTTGTTTCATGGAGGCCTCTTGAGGCCCCACATTGTCCAGGAGGAGCCCCAGGAAGTCTGTTGCTCTGTAGCTGACATTCCCCAGGTAGGCCTGCTGTCCTAAGTTCTGAGCCATGTTGCTGAGGGCTTAGTATGACCCCGGAAGCTGCAGTACGGGCCAAGGACCAAATCCGTGGCTTGTCTGGTGATTCAAAATGAGACAGGGATAGCATTCCTGCTGACGGGACACTTCCGGGCATTGCCTTGGACACAACCGGATCCATGAAATCTGACGGGAGAGGGGGGAGGGTAGTGACACCTTTGATGGCACAGGGGAACGCGTGGAAGCTGTTTGTTAAGCTCAGGTGTAGCTCGGAGCTACAGTCTCTTTTTGGAGGATCTCCAGATGTAACCATGGATCTCTGAAGGTCCTGCTCATTAGCTGCCACCTTTTCACAGTCGCTGTCCAGCTTGTCACAGTCGTCCTCATCCATGTCCTCCAGGTCACTCAGGTGCAACTCCTTCTCTTCCTTGCAGTCACTGGAATCTAAATGAGGAGGATAAATGTGTGCTTTAAATCATTACATGCAGAGTGGAAAATGTCTATTCTCATTCTGCAAACTGTCATAGATTTAAATAGGAAAAGTTACCTTTGGTGACACTGTCTTGTTCACTCTTATTAAAGTCCTCTTTTCTGTCATCATTGGCCTTATTCTTTGGTGACCAGGTCATCTTGTTTTCCTTCTTTAGCCTCCTCCTGGCGTTGGCGAACCAGGTGGACACCTGGGTTAGGGTCATCTTGGTGATGATGGCCAACATGATCTTCTCTCCCTTGGTGGGGTAAGGGTTCTTACGGTGCTCATACAGCCATGTTTTTAGTGTGCTGGTGGTTTCACGCGTAGCATTCTTTCTTCTAGCTGTGCCATTAAAGTCAACTGTCCCATATCTGAATAAAAATACATAAACACACACTTTTAAGCCCTTTACTGCATCCTTAAAATTTTCACCTCCAAAAGCATCAGTATAAGGAGAAATTCTCTGGCCTCTGGATCAAAGTAAAGGCATAAAAGTGGAAATTAACTTTAGCATATGGACAAACATACATGTAGAACTCACCTGTCATACTGATACTGCCCCAGTGAGTGATCATAAGGATAGTAAGCAGCAGTTTGAGTAATCCCAGAGTGTAAAGAGGCTGTGCTGTCCTTAATGTCATACTGTGGATTCTGTGAGGAAAAGGAGAGGTTTTATTTAGTTTGAAAGCTTTTGACAACTGATTACCTTTTTTTTTTTTTTTTATATATATAACTGGACTAAATGTCCAGATAACTGCAACTGCCTACACCATATAAACACACTTAGAGCTAGATTTTATTGTGGGTTACAGACTGTAACAGTACTTTTACTTAACCTGTTATCAAAACTTAAAAGTTTCCTGAAAACTTTTTTTAATCATTTACATTTTTGAGTATGTTTTCAGATAAATTGTGTATTCCAATAGGCACAGTTGTGCACACTAAAACAAACTTTTTTTTAATGATTTTCCAAAGTTGTGCAAAGGTGTGCACACTAACACAAACTTTCTTTTCTGTATGTTTGCAATCTTTTGACTCTATATCAACATGCATTTCTAAACTTCAACTAATTTGATTTCTATTTTTAGTTTCTATACTATATCACGTTAAAGAATTTGATGATATACTAATTTAGCAGCTGAATTAAACTACCTCTCAACACATTTTGCAGTGCAAAATTAATTGATAAACCCTCCTGATTTATCAGTCTGAGCTCCCTCATCCCTTCCCCCGCTTTTGCGCGACTGTGAAACCCACCAGAGTGGAGTAGATGGCGGATGGGTCGGTGCTGTAGGGAAAGTAGCTGGCGTAGTTCTGGCTGGCTGCTGCCGCAGCCGCGTATGGAGAGCCGTACATCCCCAGAGCTGCGTTCAGCTCCGTCCGGCTGCTGGCCAGGAGCCGGTTCTCGTAGGAGGGGCAGCAGAAGGAGGCGGCAGCTGCGGCGGTCTGAGAGCTGCCTGTCCCGTCAGAGACCGACCTGGAAATCGAATCGCAGCAAGTCGTACTGGGGTTTGCCGACACGAAAAACTGCATGAAGAAAATCGTGGATAGATAACGGTCATTGATGGATTCAGCTCTGAATTTGATGTCTGTGATAACTCTGAGGTTTGAGTATGGACTTTGTTCATCAAAACGCTACGTGTATCCTGAGATGTTTAGCCGAAAAAAAATGTAACATGTTTTTAATTGCCTAAAGAAAAAGATTTCGTTGTCATGTGTAAACTTATTTCAAGGTAAGTCACCTTTATTAAAATAGAAAATAACGCTTTCACTCAGTAAGGACTACACTTGTCTATGATAGTTAGAATTAAATGACAGGTTTCCTTTTTTTTAGTCAGTTCTGTAACTAATTTCAAATGATGTAGTGAAAAGTTGTGCGCAATGCGTGCGTAAAAAGGTTCCAACTCTATTTTATTTAAGTATTTAAATCTACTGATGTCATCTAGGTTAAATAAATAATACTAATAATAATAATACAAGATTAATTGAAGTTGATAACATCTAATATTAAATGTAATTGGAATTAATTTCTACTCCCTTCTGTTGAAAGCTAAAAAAAATAAATAAACTCCGTTGAAAGTTGCTTCAAAACTTTGACAGCAGGGAAAGGGCTGTCCCCTTATCAACTCTTTTACTATTTTTTTTTACCTTTTCATTTACATTATCTTTTTCAGTGCCAACAAAATGCATTGTTCGTAATAATTCAAATTAGAACTGAAGAAGATGCAAAGCTCAACAACCCAACCGCGCATCAATGACTGTATTATATCTCTATTGTCATCAGAAAAGCACGTGAGTTCATTCATAATTCAGTGTAATTGGACAGGAATGTGTGTATATTGATATTTGGTTTTGCCACAAAAGCACATGGCAAAAGCAGCTGTCACTACTGTCAGAGCAGAGGCAGTATGATCAATGATCCGAATCAAAAATTAGATCTCTGAAAGATTAAGTCAGAGAAAATACACTAAACGTGTAAATTTCGTTGTATATTCGCAAGTGCATTAAAAAGAGAGGTAACTTACCTGGGAAGTTGCATTGTAAGGATATCCAAACTGCGAGAAAGACATTGCTGCTTCCTTTGTTACCATCAGGAATATTCTTCACCCTTGATCGATTGCAACCAATTCTACTTCAAATCCATCGCCTTGCACATACTTTCCATGCACGGCCTTTCGCTCAATAATAGATGACTTCAGTCAAAAGGAGGGAGAGTTGGAGTGGCAGCAGCTGCAGATTGTTTTATATGAATGAATAATCCCCTACAGGATCCGATAAGAAATTAAATTAAGCGTCATTAAGTGAAAAAAAATGTTGGCTGAAAGAGGCTTAAAGGATAAGTAAGTCTTCCAAGTTATGGACTCTGCTTGTGCTATTATTTGTGGCTCTATAGTTCTTTAGCATTCACCCATGCAAGGGTATCAGCGTGACGTCACTGTAATCCCGGAACGGCAGGGGTACCAAGGATAGACTAATGTCTATACCAATCACATCCAGCGTCGGGGTTTCTTAAGGTGCACTGTACACTTCCCTGTCCTGATTTTCTTTTATTTTGCCTTTTTTTTTATTGACATGGAAAAAAAAAGAGAACCAGTGTTTAAAAACCAGACACCACAACTTAACAAAAGTAATAAATAAATAAATAAATAAATAAATAAATAAATAAATAAATAAATAAATAAATAAATAAATAAATATAGATACTCAACGTGCTTAGAACTCGTTTTTGTTTCTATCACCTGATTAAAAAATGGAGGCCCTATATGATGTTAATTATTATTTATTGATTTCACTTCCTGCAAGATGATGGCACTTTGGCCAGAGGTCCATTACGGAGTAAATGACAATGATGTTTCTATCTTTCTCTATTATAGAGAGCGAGCGTCCCAGCGTGAGTCCTTAGAAGCGTTTTTGGCAGGTCAATAGACCTGTGATTGATGTGCGCCTGGAGACCTATGTGACCATTACGCGTAGTGCGTAATTGTATCAATTAACAAATGGATACATGCCCTTGTTTAACCAACGAGTAACAGAGTGAAAATATGCCTTAGAGGTGAAATCCGAAGAGCTGCGCAGGAAAGGAAAGAGGAAGACGTTGGAAGCCGTGCTCCCTGGTCTAATTAAATATCCGCGTGCACGGGGGTGACGAGAATTGCATTTTAATTGAATGATGCCCACTTGAAAGATGGGTAAGAAATGAGGCTTCCTCTTGGAGAATGAAACTAGAAATAATTGTGAGCCTTATTAGATCAGTAGCTGTGCTGTAACTCTCTCCTGTAAACACCAACAAGCTGCGCCGTCTCCTGGGTTGAGCTGCAGAATGGAGGGGGTCTGATTATTTTCCCTACGGGCTGCTTATTTGTACTGAAAATGACAGTTGGTCTGTTTCACTGACTCACACGAACTGTCTGTGTCAGATTTTCTTCAGTGAAATGGGTTGTCTGTTTTCAGGACGGATGCATTGTTCCCGAACTTCCCACCGTCCGGACTTCTGAGGAATTCGGCCCCTAGGAGACACGTCTGCGATTGCGGCCTTTCTCTCCGAGGGGCGCTAAAGAGCCGCGTGTGCTAGATGGAGATCTCCCTTCAGAGATTTTGCAAAGAGATAAAGTGGACAGTGTGGCCATTTATGAAGGCACACACACATATCTTCGAACACAGAACACAATAGCTACAATCGAGCTTGTCAGACAGGAAAAGAGCTTAAGTAGAAGACTTTCAGAACTGAGGTTCTTTCTGATATTTCTAAGCTACTGACCCTTTTTAACTTAAACTAGTTCTAAAGCATGTAAATATTTAAGAAGGTGGGATCTGATTTCTTCTGACTTTTCACTTAAGTCACAGGTTTCAGCTCATTTAGGTGAAGTTGTTGTGAAACTATTGATATTTTAAGATGAAATAGACACGATGGCTAAATTATGTCCAAGTTTGGGCAGTATTTGTTAAATGTTCTGTAATGGTTCATTTTTTTGACAAAAAAACCCCCCAAAACTTTAAAATGCAATATCCAATGTGCAAACAATACTTAGCATATTTCTAAGATGTTTTGATATAATTTTAAAATATCTCAATATCCTACCTAATGGAGAATTTCACTGGAGCAAAGGATAAAATTTTACTGGAGCATATATAGGGCCCTTGATAAAACAGGTCTGGCATATCATAGTCCAGGATTGAGAATCAGTAAATAGATAAAAGGTCTTCACTGAATAAGGGATCAAAAAAGCAAGTCTTCTTTTGAAAACCACACTGTCGGGTGACGCTATGTTAAGTATGTAGTTCTTGTTGGATGCTCATAAAAATCTGAAATCGAAGATAAGTGAGACCCTTTAAAACTCCCCAAAATCCATTAGAGAAAACTACAGCCACTTAACAGGAGAATCCACAAATTAAGCTAAAACGATTATTGCAGGCAAATGTGCACATAAAGGAGGTTGAAACAAGTAAAATGTAATTGGACGTCAGCGTTCAGTGCATTTCTACAAGGGCATGCATGGTGGCCCAAGTACATATGGACACGCTCATGCATAATGCATGTGCAGCAGTCAGTGCAGATCTCAAAGAATAAGGCAGAAATGAACACTAATTGCAATAGTACACTGACCACCCTGCCCTTGCCTCTAAAATGTTTGACAAGCCAACACTCAGCCATTTCTTCACAGAGCTATTTAATTAATCACAGTTTAACAAGGTTAAACTCGCTGGATCTTGGTGTCTGATCCAATGGATAATTTCTATTTTATCTGTTTGTACTTTAGGTGAAGTATTACTTTCTCAGTTTTGTCATTTTTAAATATATGAATGGAAATTTCACTATTTGTAAACATGCTCTTTGACCAAAAACGAACAGGGCCTTGCAATATTCAGAACTTTTACATTTTTGTCATGACACAGACAAAGGAGATCAGTGTATTGTATTTGAGTTTCATGAAACAGCCAAAAGGAAAACTACTGATGATTATTTTTTCCTGACAAATAAAATGTGAAAAATTGGCTTTAGTGTGTATTTATTCACATACCCCCCCCCCCCCCTCCAAAAAAAAATAAAAAATTCTTTCAACATGCAAAATATTATGGCGGCAGCATCATGCTGTGAAGAAGTTTTCATCCAAAAAGGAAAGGAAAACTGATTCAAGGTTAATGGAAGAATAAATCCAGATACAAGAAAATCAATCTTTTGCAGGTTGTAGAACAAAAAAAATGTATGCATATGTTGAAGTATTACATTAGAAGAGCTTGATAGAAACAGCTAAATTTGAATCAACTGACCGAATTGCGCAAAAAAATGGTTGTACACATGCTTGAGGTCGTTTTTTTCTTTTTATGAAAATAGTAAAGGTCCCAAAGAGAAGATGGAAAAACCTATTGAATCATTTCTGGTGTGGCGAACATTTACTTCACATAACTGATCAGCTGTTTCCACTGCCAACATCCTGAATAAAATTACCTTTTTCTCTGAATGTCTGGCATGTACAATTGCTAATAATAGCCGATATTTTAAAGTAAGTATAACTTGCCCAACTGCGATTAATGTATTAAAACCCCAATCTATTACTGAACTGTGGTCTGTGCCGGTTTGTCCTGTTCATTACAGCCAAGTTTAACCTATATATGATGAATTTACATTTTTCTATGACTTAGCTTGAGCTAATTTGCAAACCTTGTAAAAAACGGTTTCTAGATGTGCAAATAAGTAAAAGAGACAGGCAAAAAGACGAGCAACTCTAATTACAGTGAAGTGTTTCTACAGTATACTAACTAAACTGGCCTGAATAAATATATTATATAATATATATAATATAATATACATTTCGGAGAATAATATAAAAAAAGAAAAAGTTAAAACCAGTTATCCTTTCACAGCCCCCTATTTATTATAATTTATGAGGAAGATGATGATGATTATTAGTACTATTAGGAAAGTATTTCATATCAAAATATTAGAGCGTTTACTTTAAATACTCAGAGGTTTTGTGGCTTAGGAGAAATGAATGCTTCGACAAGGTGTTGTACTAGAAGATAAGATCTTTTACTGTTATAGTACATTTTCTAATGTATTTCAGAAAATACGAAATCTCTCTAATATACCTTGTCCTGAATGATCCACCTGATTGGTAATGAGATTCAGTTATGCAAGCAATCTCTATTAGATGCCTTGCTGCAAAAAAAGAAAAAAAGAGGAGATTGAAAGGTTATGTCAACACTCACTCAATAGCTCCCGGCCCTATTCTACTGTTTAATACATTTCCCTAGCTGACTTAATGAACCTCACAAAGCCTTTCTGGTTTTTCATCAGATGGAGGTAGCTGCAGTGTTGGTTGAGCTAGAGAGGGTCTGTATGAAATGGTAATAAGTTCAGGCAGATGAGGAGATGGAGGGAGAACTCAGCGTTGATCAGGGGATAAAGCAGTCCTACCTGAGGGTGCATGTGATCTCATTAAAAACTCGTAATTTCCAATACATATAATATAGCTGTGATCTGTAATTATTGTGAACACATGTGAAGAAAAAAACACAAATCAATCTTTTATATACAGAATAATGAAAATGACCTCCATCATAATGAGTAAAACTAGTTCTGCTAAATTACCAGCAATGCAGCAGAAAGTGATAAATAGAAAAAGAAACAGTACTGACTTAAAATAAGATCACAGTAGTTACCTGTTCACATGCAAACATTACTAATAACTGGGTAAAACAGTCATTGATATTTGCCAAACAGACAGAAATAAATTTTAGGTATGACATCCTGACAACTGTCTGGTTTGGAGATAAAGTGGGTAATGATATAGAGTGACTGTGTAGTTGTATGCCATAGGTAGAGCCACAGTAGTGTGCCAGAGTTTGGTTGGCATGTGGGGTTTAGGAAACTGATTATTAGTGATTCAACATCATCGCCCACTAATTTAACAGAAAGTGTTAATTTCTTATTTTATTTTGGTTTCTGTATTCCAACGTTTAAACATGGAAGGGTACAAGAATGAATAGAGAAAACTGCTATTTTATTTGTCTCTATGTCACTTTGACTAGTCATCGTTAGATGTTTAACTCAAACAAACCCTAGGCTATTTTTGTTGGGAGCCGCCTCTCCCAGAGGCCCCTGGGGCTCCTGGGAGAAGGTAAAAGTAATTTAGACGGAAAGCAGAAGATAGAGAACTGTGCATGTGTTGTTTGGTGTGCTGGTTGGCAGACTCCCCTTGAGGCTCTACTGTAAAGCTATCATCAGTGGTGGTGTCAGGGATTTGTAGCTTGTCACTGACAGAGAGCGAGTGCTGGCAGTAACTCTTGGAAATAGCAGCTCTCAGAGAGAGAGACCAGCTCACACAGCTTGAGTAAATGAAGGTGCGTGTTAGAGAAAGATGGAGAATGAGGGAGAGGAATTTGTGTTTATTTTTTTCCCCCAGGTGTCTTGCGATGTATCTGGGTGTACAGGTCGGCTGTGACTGTGTAGCATGATGTGTGAATCTATGTGCTATCTTTTATGCAGAGGCCTTAGGCTTTTGTCTGAGGGTTTTCTTGTCACCAAGGGATGCATGTACATGTCTGTTCTGGGTGTATCAGAAAGACATTGCGTGAACCTGTGTTTGTATATACATTCACACTCACTTTTGAATGAGGGATGCATTCTCACTCCCCTCAGTTGGGAATCATTACTTTCTTCTAAATGTATGTGTATTTGTGGACATTGTTGTGATGATTGCTGATTTTAACACTTCTTTAAGGCAGAGGGCCTGCATCAAGAAGAAGCAGAAAATGTAAGTAAACACTTGTCTCTCCAATCAAATATATAAAGATAAGATTCTCTGAAATCATCATTTTGGGACGGATTTTTTTATTAGTAGCCAGGTGTTTCTATAATTACATACCTTGGTGGACAGTGTTTCTAGAGTTCAAGAGGTCATGAAATTTTATCAACACATAAATAATCGTTAGTTTTAGAGGGATGGAAAATATAATAAATTGCCAAAACTGGACTTATATGGTTTTCCTATGAGTACATCTGCTAAATCCACAGCAGCTTTGTGGTGTATCTCTAGGGCCCACAGAGAAAGGCAGGTCCTATTACTGTCAACCCAATTACTGGCCGCAGAACAGCCACTGCTGTCAGCACCAGGCCAAACATGTTATGCATCGGCATCTTTTCTCGTGAGTATAGCTAAATCCTTTGGGCAGGGCATCTTATGTGTTGTGCACAGCTGCAAACCCTTGCATGTGATTGTAAAGATTCAGTGCAGAACTGTGTTGTGAATCTGAGTTTTGGTTTTCAAAAACCAAAAGCAGTTTGGAAGTGTGTGGTACCTATAGCAAAATATTCCTCAAAAAATTCCTCATCAGGAACTTCATAAGACCACAACAGCAAAGTATATGTACAAGGTAACTGATGTACAGTAATTTTATTTATTTAGGATCTTAGTAGAGCATTAAATTAAAAAATGCATATGCAAATACTCTACTGCTATGACCACTACTACTATAAATAGTTAGGTAATTATTTATGAGTAGACTTAGATAACTTGTATTGTCAATAATACTAATAATATTTTAGATAATTAAATAATTATTAATAGATTAATGTGTATGCAACATGATATAGGTATCTTAAGGTGCTATGAAATGGTAAAAACATTTAAAAACGTGACAATGATAAAAAAAGGTAAATAAATCAAGTGTTCCACATATTGTTACACAATATGTTCCATATATTGCGGAACATGTAGCAGGCAAAAATAATCAGCAAAACCACTTCTGGGCTTTACAGAAGTGCTACTCCAGTGCAAGAGTGTTGTACCTTAAAGTAATAGTGTACCAGACATAAAGTCATTAAGGTTCAAAATGGCATTGCTGGATAAATTATATATATCTAATATTTATATTTGTGTATTTTAAAATATGTTCATATTTGTTTTTTGTTTGTTTTGTCTCATATTTAATGTTTTTTTCTCTTTTTTCATCTTACAGGCTTCTAGATACATCGGCGCTA